TGCATGCACACGTATGTGCGTCTGTGTGCATGCGTGCCTCGGCACATGTGTGTGGCATCGGAGGATCGCCTTGGGGAGTGGTTTCGCTTCTTCCACGGTAGGCACTGGGTATCAAACTCAGGCCATCAGGCTTGTGAGGCAGGTCCTTTACAAGCTGAGCAGTCCTCCATTTCTTAAGCTCAGTAGAATTAACCTCGTTTTCTGTGTCTTCGCTACCCGACTAATGGTGACCCATAACGAGTAGTGTTTCTTGAGGGTGCATTTTCTCCTCAGCGGAATCTGACCATAATTAAAAAAAGATTCTCATGGAATGTCAAGTATATTGTCGCCAAGAAATGGACCTCTGAGGTGTGTTTAGTGTCCTCTCAGAGACACAGTGAATGGCAGAAGAGATTACCCTGCAAATTCCAATTCTTTGGAAAATACGCTTGGCTCTGGCAAATATGCTTTTGTTTGAGTACAACCTTAAGTTAGTTTTTAATGTTTGGAGAAAAACCGTTATCAGAACCAAGGTGAAGTAGCTGGATATATCCAGGGTTCTGTTTTCTTTTTCTTGCTTTTTAAAAGATATTTTAAAAATTGTTCTTAGCTTTTCTTTTATTTGTGTGCATGTGTGAATCTGTGTGAATACATGCCATGTGTGTGCCGGTGCCTGCGGTGGACAGGAGGGGGTTAGTTAGGCCACCCGGAGCTTGAACTTACATTATCAGCCACTTGACATGGGAGCCGGGCACTGAACTCAAGTCCTCTGGAAGAGCAGTAAATTGTTAATCTCTAGGAATTAGAGACTGGGGATTCTCTCCAGTCCCTGAAGTTCTGTTTTCTGAAAATTGTTTTTGTTGTTGTTGTTTTGGTTTGGTTTGGATTGGTTTGGTTTTTCAAGACAGGAATTCTCTGTAGTTTTGGAGACTGTTCTGGGACTCGCTCTGTAGACCAGGTTGGTCTTGAACTCACAGAGACCCTCCTGCCTCTGCCTCCCAAGTGCTGGGATTAAAGGCGTGCGCCACCACTGCCTGGCTGAAAATTGATTTTTGCTGACATAGTTTGACCATTCTTATTGAGGCAAAATACAAATGGATATTTCATAAACTATTTTTATTGTAGCAGTTTACTTATATTAGGCCAACATTCTATAATAGTGCCCCAAAACTCAGAGGCTCACAGAACACAAAGTCAAACAAGTATCACATGATGCCACCCATTGTGGGCACTGAAATAGTGATGTCATCAAGCTAGAGAGTGAAATAGGTCTCAGCAGATGGTGGGGAGGGGCTGGGTGATGTTGGTTCCCTGGGAGAGAGGAAAGGTTAAGTCTCGGTGTTCTAAGCACGGCAGTTCGAACTAGATTCAGAGTGATGCATTATGTATCTCTCAGCAGCCAGATGAAAGTAACAATGTCTCACTACAAAGAAATGGTAACTGTTTGAGGCCTTACATATGGTATTATATCAATTTGATCATTGCATATTGTATGCGTGTATTAAAAGGCCACACATTACCTCAGGAATGTGGATAATTATTATGTCTCCACTAAAAATAGAACATTTTCTAAACAATGAGGTTTATTTGTCTCCTTGGTGACAGCCCCAGATAGGTACTGTGGCAGCTTCAGTCCACGGAGACCCAGGCTGGCAGGACCTCTGCTTGTCCGTAGCTGTTTTCTTGACTGGCTCTGGTGGTCAGTGGCCATGGGAACTGACTGTCACAGATAAGCTCCTGGCCAGGGCTTTGCTTTCACAAAGGTGAGGCACAAGGCCTTCCAATCACTCACATTGTAGTGACAAATACCTGGTCACATGACCACGCCAGGCCTCAGTGTTCATATAAGAGAGGGCAGACACAACAGGGATGTTATGTCAATACATTGCCTGACTACGAGAAACTATCAGTGACCAACCTGCACACCGGCAAGGACCCGGGAAGCTGTGCCAGCAACAGTGACATACAAGAAACAAATCACATTCAGCAAGGTAAAACCCAAGGCAGGCTCTCTGACTTAGTGTCACCACATCCAAAGGGTTTAGTTACCAAAATCTCAGAGGAAACAGCCAACTTCAAATGGACCATTCTCTGAAGGCTGGGAATTCATTTTCTTATAGAAACCCAGCCTGATTCCAAAGTTATTCCAAATGGCTGTGTTTACCTTATGTGGTTCATCCTTGATGCAATACATAGATTAATAGAAACGGGTTAATAATTAAGACAGAGCTATCCAGTAATAAGCCCTAAGCATCGGCCAACAGTTTTATAATTAATATAAATCTCTGTGTGCTTATTTGGGGCTGATGGGCAGAGGGACCTGGGACAGAAACCTCCGTCCTCACCATGCGTTTGGTGTTTTGAACTAAAGAGCTCTGCACAGCTGACTCTGTGTGTTATTCCCTCTCCACCACCCTCTGTGCCTTCTCTAATTGTCACCTATGATGATCTCCACTTAGCAGCTCTTCCATTTGGGGCACTAAAGGACAGTATCATCTCTTACTTTGCATTAATCCGGCACGCTACTCCTTGGGCGGCATGGCGTCTCTCTGCCACCTCCCTGTCTCTCCTCACTCCTTCCTCTTGTAGCCCTGCCTATCCTTCCTGCCTGACCATTGTCCAAACAGTGTTTTAGTCATCAACCAATAAGAGAGAAACATATATATATATGTATATATATATATACATACATACATACATACATACATACATATATCGTATCCCCCATCAGACGACTCCCTCCTTTAAGGTTTTATCACAGGTCAACTGTGGTTGCTTCTGTATCAACCTGCCTTCCAGATAGTTAACCTTTTACCCACAGAGCAGTGTACCCCTTCACCGCTCATCAGCTTCTTAGGGAGCAGAGGGTGGTTAACACACAGACTCACTGCTGGTCAACGTGCAGAGAAGTGACCATGGAGACCTCAGCCCAAAATTACATGGGTATCACCCCTGGCTCCTCCCCTAGGCTCAGGGATCATCTTGGGGGTGGGGGCCCAGAAAATTGTGTGAGACAGAATGCGGGAGGTTGTTCTGAAACACTGTTTCCTAGACAAGGCTGGTGCACTTGTGGGTCACAGCAGCTGTGATTGCTGGCACACACACATACACACATACACACACAACACACATACACATACATATATACACATACACACATACATACACACACATACACACACACAATACACATACACAGATATACACATACACACACATACACACACAACACACATACACACACAGATACACACATATACATACAACACACATGCACACATACATACACACACAACATACAACACACACATACACACATAGATATACACATACACACATACATACACATACACACAACACACACACATACACACATACATACACACATATACATACAACACACATGCACACATACATACACACACAACATACAACACACACATACACACATAGATATACACATACACACATACATACACATACACACACATACACACACAATACACATACACATACATATATACACATACACACATACATACACACACATACACACACACAATACACATACACAGATATACACATACACACACATACACACACAACACACATACACATACATATATACACATACACACATACATACACACACATACACACATAGATATACACATACACACATACATACACATACACACAACACACACACACATACACACATACATACATATACAAACACAACCCATACACACACACACACACACACACACACACACACACACACACACACCAAACCAGTCAACACTCCATGGAAGAGGGAAAACAGGCTCACGGGGCCCCACCCTAGCTGAGCAAACCATTGGCAGTGGTGTCATTTTTCTTCAACTGTGTGGCTCCTGGTGATGGCCCTGACCCAGGCAGCACTCACTGGACTCAGAGGGGGCGGGGGCATGGAGTTGGGGACGGGACGTGTGCGGTGGAGTTGAAGGGAAAGCAACATGGTGGGTGTAGATGTGATCCAAACGCATGCTGTACTCATGCACGGAATCACTGTCGTTTTGATTTTGTTTCCTTTAAAGCGGTTGCGTCTTAGCCGTGTGTGACGAGCAGAGTTGGAGTACCCAATGGAGGAGGGACCGGGAAATTGCCCCGCCTGCCTTCTGCCTTCCCTACGTGTCCACGTGAAGAGCAGGGAAAGAAGGGCGGGTTGAGAATGGAGAAGAGGAAGAGGCCAAGGCTGGTGTCAATAACCTCTTCCGCGATGAGATGAGGACATGGAAACTGAGCTTTTCCGGGCGGGGGTGGGGGTGTGAGGGGGGGAGGGGCCACAGGGAATTTGATTACTGCCTCCGCTGAGGGGTCTGATTGGGAGAGGCAGCATGTGAGGGGGGGAGGGAATGGCCACCTGGGAGAGCAAGGTGGAGAGATAGAGACCTCTTGCCATTCTTCAGTCAGCTCCCAGACATTCACAAACAGCCATTAAGGGAAGGGAAATGCCTCAGACTTGAAGAGTTCTCACTGTAGTGGTTAATAGAGTCAGTTTAGAGGAGACAAAGCCACCTCTTCCAGAGTCCCGAGGAATGTACCCAAAATGTCTTTGCGTCCTCCAAACATACTTTCACACCCTTCTTTCTTGCGGTTTTACTCAACCTGCTGGGTAATGCCCAGGCTCGTAGACATGGTTCTGCTTCACCTTGATTGAAGGTCGGAGTTTGAATGCGCTATTGCTCCTCCAAGGCGAAACAATAAAGATGTCTGGCCTAAGATGTAAATGCAACAGGATGCTTGACCTACAGTGTGGTCACTGCATGTCCTGCCCAAACAATAGAATACTTAACTTTGGACATACTTACTTGATCTTCTTTGTATCATTGGAAAGGGAGTCTGTGGCCTCCTACCCCCTTTTGATGGGTTATAAAAGATCTTTCAATGATAAACTTGGGCTGACCCTGGTATCCACCTTGCTGACTCAATTTCTTGTCTCTTGCCTGTTCCTTTCCTCAATCCACACTCCCCCTCAGGTCAGCTGGACCCGACTGTAGCCCCCGATCACAGATTAATACGGGGTAGCTCCCCCACCGCTTTCAACATAGCTTCTGAAGACGCCTGTTTCTGAGAAAAAAGCTTCATGGAGCCCTTTTGAGGAGGTGAGTCCTGACTTGAGGACTGAACTACGGAGGGCTGTTCTCTGTGAGTCTGGCTGCAACAGACTCTGGTGTCTCTCTTGACAATTGGGCCTTCTGTAATCACAGAGACACGACAGTTGGCCTCCTCAGAAATGGCCTGCAGTTGCTTTCAGAGCTGGGCTGGGTCTAACCATGCACAGAGAACCATAAAGCATCGTCACGGTCAGGGACGGCCCCGCCTCTGATGCGGAGAATGGAACAAAGATTCCTTTGCTTGTGAAAATAGACACGGACTCTCCCATTGGTTGCAGAGTCCTCGCTCGCACTTGCTCTACGGCTGAAGAGAATACTGCGACCACGCCAGATTCTGCAGGGAGGTCCTGTCGTTTGAGCTATTGGAACGTTATTTTGCAAAGAGACAGAAGTTAGTAAGAAAATGGGAGTTATGTGAATTAAGTGAGAGAGAGAGAACACCAGTAAAGGAAGGTTCTTAAGGTTTATTTTTTAATTCTTGTGTGTATGAGTGTTTGCCTGTGTGTGTATGTATGTATGTATGTATGTATGTATGTATGTATGTATGTATGTGCACTACATTCATGCCTGAGGAGGTTAGGAAACAGAGGCAGGTCCCCTGGAACTGAAGTTATAGATGGCTGTGAGCCGCCATATGGGTGCTGGGAGCCGAACCTGGATCCTCTGCAAAGGCAGTCAGTATTCTTTAGCAGCTGAGCAGTCTCCTCCGCCCCAGGCAGGATTTTGTTTGTTGTCATTCTGTCTCAGGTAAGTTAGGTATGTGTTGAAAGGTTACTAGACATTTGCTAGAACAACCTGCATGAGAATGTTTGTCATGGAATTGCTCCCTTCCCTAGAGAATGAGGAGGTGGGTGCCATGAACTCCGAATGTCTTCCCAAGACAACAGCATTTGATTCCGAATTTTCCGGCGTGGGTTGTGCTGTAGCGAGGAGCCTCTGGCTCCTAAGGAGCCGAGCACGCGGGCTGTGTCTGTGCAGCCCTGTGCTGGGTCCTCACAGGGCTACTCCGCTGGCCCCGTGATCGTGACTGCACAGGTCTGTCTTTGACATTCCAGGCTGCGTGGTCTCAGGCTGTCTACAGTCTGGACTCAAGCTGGACCACAGAAGGATTTATGGTGGCCGGATAAAAGTCAGCATCCCATAGGAACTTGTGAAGCTGTTCTCCATCTGCCAAAGGGAGTCAGTCATGTCTCTTACCTCTGTAAGAAGGGGCATATGGCTACCCATGGTGCCTATCTGCATGTCAAAGCCCCTGCTGCCTCCAGACTCTCTCAGTCCTACTCACAAGTGCTTGTTGAGCATTTCAAGGTCCACTCTAGTCTCCTGGCCCTCCCCTTCCCCAGCTAAGCGTCATCCTTGTACCCCAGCTACCCCTGCTATTCTCTCTCTCTCTCTCTCTCTCTCTCTCTCTCTCTCTCTCTCTCTCTCTCTCTCTCTCTCTGTGTGTGTGTGTGTGTGTGCGCGCGCGCGCATGCGTGCTTTACTCTGTATGTGCTCTCTCTGTGTTTCTGTCTCTCTTTGTGTGTGTTTCTCTCTCTCCTCTCTCTCTCCCTTCCTCTCTCTCTCTCTCTGTGTTGCTCTCTCTCTTTCTCTTTCTCTGTGTGTGTGTGTGCGTGCGTTTCTATGTATGTGTTTCTCTCAGTGTTTCTCCTCTCTCTGTGTGTTTCTCTCTCTCTCTCTCTCTCTCTCTCTCTGTGTTTCTCTCTCCTCTCTCTCTCTCTGTTTCTCTATCTGTCTCTCTGTGTGTGTTTCTCCCTCCTCTCCCCTTTCCTCTCTCTCTCTCTCTGTTTCTCTTTCTCTCTGTCCCTCCTCTCTCCTCTCCTCTGTTCCCCATCTCTTCCTTGCAGTCTCCAGCCCCAGCCATGTCCAGTCTATGTCTCTTTCTCTCTGCTCTAGACTCTTCCTCGCTCTTATGAACAATGAACCCCCCCATAACAGAGCTGTCGTGCCAGCAGTTTCTTTGCTACGCTCCCTTGCGTACACACCCCCGCTCTAAATAACCCTCTACAGTCTCCGGTTCGACTTTAGAGTTTCCCCTCACGATGTGACGTCCTGAGCCAGCCCGACACAGGGAGAAACAGGCCTTTCCCTCCCACATCATCCTCATGCAGTAGCTGCCTGGCTGGCTGCCACTCAGGACTGTCACTCTGAGCAGTGGTGACTGATGCATCTCCGCTCAGATTCTGCATAAAGCTCTCTTTTACAACAGTGAGGATGACACACTGCGGAGCTAGGTGGGTGGTTTTTCAATTCTCATGGAAAAGAACAAAAAAAGATAAAGCAAAACCCCCAAACAAGCACGCGCAGAAAGAAAAGCTTCAGTCTAATTGACACGGCACGGCTGGGAGGGTGGGAGTGGGGAGAGAAACCGACAGGCCTCCGCGGCCGCTGCTCCCCTGGGAGTCATAACCGGGACACCGAGTCTCCTCTTTCGCCCGCCCTAGCTAGGATATTGACTTCTGGTCTCACCCTCAGCCCCTTTGTCTACCACTAAATATGGCACAGCACCCCAGTGGAGGTACCGACTTTCAACCTGAGAAGCCTCTGAGTGCAGAGGACGGACGGAGGACAGCAGCTAACATGCTGGGATGCTCGTCCTCGCGGCCAGCTTGACGGATGTGCAACCTCTGTGTGCTTCCGTGGGGATGCTTCCAGGGTGGACTGACTGAGGAGGAGGAGATTCCCTGAGTGTGCGCTGGGGCCCTCCCCGGGATTAAAGGGGAGAGGAAAGAGGTGTGCCGGGTATGGCCCTCACTCTGCTTCCTGACTGGAGAAACCATGAGCAGGGGCCTCACATGCCTGTCTCCTATGAGCAGGGACCTCGCATGCCTGTCTCCTATGAGCAGGGACCTCGCATGCCTGTCTCCTATGAGCAGGGGCCTCGCACGCCTGTCTCCTATGAGCAGGGGCCTCGCACGCCTGTCTCTTATGAGCAGGGGCCTCACACGCCTGTCTCCTATGAGCAGGGGCCTCGCACGCCTGTCTCCTATGAGCAGGGGCCTCGCACGCCTGTCTCCTATGAGCAGGGGCCTCGCACGCCTGTCTCCTATGAGCAGGGGCCTCGCATGCCTGTCTCCTATGAGCAGGGGCCTCGCATGTCTGTCTCATATGAGCAGGGGCCTCACATGTCTGTCTCCTTGCTAGGAAGGGCTCTATCCTTCCTCTGCCACACGGAGCCAAATCAGGCCCTCCCTCCCTAACGTTGCTTCATGCCAGGCGTTGGGTAAAAGCAACCAGAGGTGACTAACACGCATGCCTGGCGCGGGACAGTTAACCCTTTAACCACCCCCCTGGTGGCGTTCACTTCCATCGAAATTTCCACCACCTGTTGCATTTGCGGAAACCGAGGCCCAGACAAGATTGAACTGCCCAACGCCAGCGCCAGAGCTGCCAGGAGAAGCTCGCCCTTTCCGTTCAGGGTACTTTGTCTTCCTCCTTCAAGGATGGGCTTCAGGTAGCCGAGAGAGATGAAGGGATAAAAGGAGACAAACAACCGTAGGCGTCCACACTGCCCTCCTTCCTGGTCAGTCTGTGTTGCTGTTGAATCAACTTCCTTGCTCTCTGCTCTCAGTGAATAGGGTTTTATTTTTCTGGAGCCCCACAAAACAGTTTCCTTTTTGTGTGCAAGTCAAAAAACTTTGTTTTGATTATTTTTGTATCCGCGTGTGCACGCAAGTGTGGTTTTGGTTGTCTTTGCATCCGTGCATCATGAGAGTGGAGCCCATGAAGGAGAGAGGAGGATGTTGAATCCCCTGGAGCTGGAGTCACAGGTGGTTTGCGAGCCACCTGAGTGGATGCTGGGAACCAAACTCAGGGCCTCTGCAAGAGCAGCTGTCGCTTTTACCCGCTGAGTGGCCCATTCAGCCTTCAGCTCCTTTCTCTCAGTGAAAGGTTCTGAGATTTGTCCGTATCGCAAGCTTTGGTAACGCATCCCTTTTTCCATCACTAGGAAATTATATCCCTGATAATAACACCGAGTGCTTTATAGGTGGGCTACCATGCCTAAACCTTCTAAGAGCAGTTAAGTTTTGGAGGTGAAATGTCTCCACAGGCTCATGGGTTTGAACACTTGGTCCCCACCTGGGGAGCAGTTTGGGGAGATATAGAACGGTTGGGGGCCTACCTCAGAGGCAGAGGTCATTGGGCCTTGAAGGTCATAGCAAAGCCTTGCTTCTGGGTTCAGTCTTGCACGTCCTGGTCTGCCAAGATGTGAGCAGGCGGCCGCCACAGACCGCTGGCTGCACACAGCTGCACATCACCTGCCGCCTGCCACACAGTGGAGTAGCTCCCGTGAGCCGAAACCAATCCCGAAAGCCATTTCTTGTCAGAAGTTTTATGACAGAGACGAGAGAAGCCATGGAGACAGAACGTCTTTATTGTAGCATGGGGGAAATTCCTGGGATTACAATTAGTCATAGGCTACATACAACAATGTTAAGGTATTTGACTAAATCTTGTTGATCTTTAAATGTTATTTGCAGCAATGTTTAATCTACAGTGTAGCAACTAGAACGTCTAAGTGTTACTTATTATTGAAAAGTGGCTGGAAGGGAAGCCACACAACAGACTGAATCTAATCTGAGCAGGTCTGCCCAGGAGAGTCTCCAGGTGGGGAAACCAGAGTGTCTGTGTCTGCTTACAGACCAGGGATTGTTTCAGCAGGTAGGGAAAGCTGACAGGAGTTGCGATTCAAAAAGCTTTCCTTTGGGCCCAAGATTGGCCATTTCTAGGAGTGCCCAAAGAATGGTGAGAGGCCAGTGAGGAATGTCAGGTGACTGACAGGTGTTGTCTGGGGGTCTGCTGGGGGGGGGTGAGGGATGGAGGAAGACAGCTTCTGCCATGCCAATTACTGTGGTTTTGGGAAATTGTCACCATTCAATTAAAATGAAGATTTTTTTTTCAGTGTTATGGCATTGGCCAGCAATTATGACAGTTTTTCCTGCAGGCCAAGTTCCTTGCCAGGGCGACGTTTTTGTCTTCCCAAGTCCATAACCATGTCTCCCTTCTCTCCCTCTCCTTTCTAGTCTTCTTACTTCAGCCGTTGCCTCTGTCTTGAGTCCTTTAGAAGCTGGTACTGACTGGCTCAGCCTCTCTGGTTTCCTTCTGCTGTGACCAGTATCAGCCAGCACTGTGACCCAGGTGTTACACGAGGGGCACCAAGATCACTCATTTCCCTTTATGTGCCGGTCTGTTAGGGGTGATAGACACGGGTGAATTTGGTACAATGAATAACGGTTGGCGGCGTGTGTCAGGTCCACAGAGAGTTAAACAGGCTGAAGGCGGCCAGTCAAGTCTTATATTTAAGTTCATTCTTGAAACTGGTTTTTCTGGGGCAAGCAATTTGCTTAAGCAAAAAGCAAAAGTCAAAGAGAACTTTCATATCTGGATAGAGAGAGAAATTAAAGAGGCCATAGAGGTCAGAGCAGCTATCCCTGAGGCGATCCATAGTGGGAGTCAGTGTGG